GGGGAGATGTAGTCAACCATTCCTTCCACAGAAAGCGCATAGGGCAAAAATTAAAAAGAATAGACGTGGGTTTTCAGGAAGATATTCTTCGTATAATATACGGATTTTATAAAGAAAATTTGGTGCCCACGTTGGAAATGATACGGGATAAATTAAAAGATTATCCAGAAGATTTTTATAATTACAAATGCTTACACTCACTGCACTGTATTGTAAAACTGTGTGGTTTTCAATACAAAAAATTAGATAAAAGAATGGTGATTATGGAGTCGTCTCGAATCGTTGAATTGCGCCAAGAATTTTTGCACAAAGTTAAAATCTATAGAGAGCAGAAAAGAAATCTGATTTACCTGGATGAAACGTGATATGATACCCATGATGTTGTGCAGTACGGCTGGGTTGACGACAGCAACAAGTGCATTTTAAATGCACCATGCAACCATGGAAAACGAATCATTATTCTCCATGCTGGCAGTGAAAATGGATTTATACCTAATGCCTTGCTGTTATCTGCCAAAAATATCAAAGAATCATGTGCCGACTATCATGAGGACATGACCTCCGACTTATTTGAAAAGTGGATAGAGCAGCAGTTAATACCAAACATTTCCCCAAATTCAGTGATTATTATGGACAATGCGCCATACCATTCCCGACAGAAAAACAAAATTCCGAATACAGGCACAAAAAAACAAGACATTATTGATTTTATGAAGGATAAGGGAATGGAAATACCACAAAAATCAACCAAAGCCATATTATTGGATCTCATTAAAAGACAAAAATTTGAAAAAGAGTATGTTGTTGACAATCTGCTTCAGCAAAATGGCCATGAAGTATTACGTCTACCTTCCTATTACTGCATTTTTAACCCGATTGAGTTGGTCTGGGCTGCTTTAAAAAAAAGTAAGAAAACATAATCAGACCCCTCAATTAAGTAAATCGCTATTGGCCACAATAAGATATGCAGTATCTCATATTGCTGCCACAGACCTATGGAAGCAGTGTTCTAGGCATATTATTGAAAAAGAAAATGAATATTGTGTTTTGCCTCCTGTAAATCCCGTTGTAATTCCTCTACAAGATGACTCTAGCGACAGCTTCGAAGGCGAGGATGATATATAAATACCTATAATGTAAGTCTTTATATACCTTTTGATATACCTACCTGCTATGTAAATATTTGTGAAACGTTGGAATTCTGTAATTTTTCAACATAAATTTAACTCCCAATATAAGTATTTTTCATCCCAAATCAAAAAAATAAGAAGATAGTAAAATCCATTTATTGTGATATAAAAGCATTATTATTATCGTTCTAAATAAATGACCGCACGACTATGATACGTCATGAAGTTACAAAGGACGCGCCGACCAAAGGTTTTCATGCTATTTCAAGTGACTTCAGATAAAGTATACGCTTCTGCTACCGCAGCGTATCCCACCAAATTTAAAGACGCGCCGCGATAACAGTGGCGTGCATATCGTACAATTTGTACCGCGGACATTTTAGTTTGCAATACAGGTATGTGGCTGTCTACTTCGTACAGACATAATCTTGCAGATATCAAAGCAAATTAGCAGTTACCCGCGACTACTTCGTTTAAAATTGCTAGGATAACCGTTACCCAAATTCTATATCCTCGTGGATCCATTACGGGTCCAGCAGAATGTCAGCATCTCTCAGCTCCGAACACCGAATTCCTTCTAGCAACCGGACCAGTAGTAACCTTAATTGCAGACGACAAGATTTGCATTATATCTGTCTGCCGTCCAACGTAAACGGATCTAAATGAACGCTGGGTATTTCGCAATATCGCATTCCCTTCGTCATATTCTTGGAGCTGGGTCATCACTGTAACAAGCGCCTACTCGCTGATTGATTCAAATACTTCTGACGTACGCGTATGCGTAGCGTATGTCCTAAACGTTTTGGCACAAAATATTTATCGGATTTTATGAATGAAGAAATTTATTTAAACACGAACTAGTTATCATAAATTTCAACTCAATGCTAAATTAAACTATAATATCGAATTATGTGGAGTGGCCCGTTTTCTCTACCAGACGCAACCTTCGTCGAATGTATCTCATGAAGTCCTGGACGGAATCCAGATCAATTTATCGCAGTTTTTCGTAAATTCGCTGTCTTAACTGTTCTTCATCTTGGGCTTCTGACTATATGTACAAAGCTTCACGCGTCACTCTTCCCACAAAAGGATAGGATACACCCCTGCTAGAAATTGCGCACCAGACAAGGATTCTATCTGCAAATTTCTCTTCATGTTTTTATCTAACATTGTCAGGGCATACATCTACGTTGTCGGTATAAACTCCGTCGTTACCCTTCATTTTAGAATCACTCAAAGCGTAATACTTTTAGTCATCTAAGGGCGGATTTCACGGTTTAATAAACCATTATTCTGCACCAATAGGGTACGAGTACTAAACAGTCCGTCAAATATACCCAATTAGTCTCATGATCTCTCCGTCAAATTTTTGGCAGCAAATAGCATCAAAGTATTCAAAAGAAAACACTGTAAAATATGAAGTGACAGCTTGCCATTGAAATGTTTTCAATCTATTAAGTATTATGAAATTATATAAAACTGAGCCAAAATTTAAAAAAAAATGCTTGATGGCTGAGTAAAATCCATTTTTTTTTCAGCTTAGCTGAATGTTTCTCTATGTTTATTGTAGCTTTTGTAATCCATATGTGATTATATTAACTCAACATCACCTACTGGGTGTTAATAGTTTATCCTACATTTGCAAACTTGCACTTCCAGATTCTTACATGAAAAAGCCTTTATACTCAAATTTTTGTTAGGTGTTGCGTTTCAACACATTCATACACTTCTTTCCAATTCCTCAACGACATTTTAACACCACTGGTCCGAAACTGTTCAAGATTCCATTCATACATTCAATTGCAGTTGCAGTTTTTTGTTTTGATTTCAGTGTATAATCAGTCGCACCATCGGCGATGGTACATGGTACACTCAACATAACCCCGTATTTGGGGGTTAGTGTAGATTTAACTGTACACGACAGTGTAATATGTAATTCTGCATAAGAAAGATCTTGGAGGGAGCACTTTTTATACGGACAATCCATTTTTCAGAAATAACCCAAGCTCAAGACAATAAGTGACAAGCGACCACAAAACACAGACTACAGTAACGTTGGAGAAGGAGAATAGACCAAAGAAGAGTTGACATTTGAAATTAGTGTCTCACACTGTTAGTGATGGGAGAATACATTTGCAACCAGGGGAATGCGTTGGAACGGTTAAAAAATATGAATTGAATCGTTTTTACGTTATCTCGACTGACAGACTGTAATATCTGCTCTGTTTCTGTACCAATGATTTTTTGTAGTATTGATGCATAAAGTAGTTTGTTCACGAACCAGTTCCTAGAACTGAACGCAACTTAATGAAACGAACTAGAAGACACATCAGTATTTCAAGTAATCCAAGGAGGGACAAATTGTCATTTCATAACACTAGTGATGGGAGAATCGGAAGCCTGAGATTCGCTTTGCTTCTGTGGCTCAGAGATATAGTGTTTTCTTCTGATAAAACTAGCGTTTGTGTTTAAAATACTCTAACTTAGTTAATACCTTTGATCCTAAAGTTGCTCCCAAAAATCTCATGTCGTGTCGCATGCAGTAATCTACCAATGAAGCATATTTTTCGTTTCTTTGTAACCACGAGCAAATAGCACGGTTGCATTCAAAGATGGAAATCGAAGCAGAAGGCAACAGACAACGCCAGCCCGAGTTGCTTCAAGTTCTGTATGTTTCTACACTGAGTGAAAAATTAGTTCAAGATGCGCACCAAAAAAAAAACATGAATATATAAATTGGTGCTGTTATAAGGATTTGGAATATGCACCAGTCCAACACTGGCTTCACTGAAATAAAACGCGATTGAATTGCTTGGTAATATTTAACAGTTTAGACCACACAAGGCTGATTTCAGTAGCTTCTATTTTGGCCACGTTCTCAGTTATAACCTCATCTCACTTCAAGTTGTATCACATGTCAGAGATTTTCCACTTTCCCCCGCGCCCCTGGAGCCTGTGGTTCTCGATACTTGCTTCAGAAAGATTTTGACTCGCTTGAGTGTTGGCTATGTTTATATATTTCCTGGAGATCTTCAAACCTTTCAAAGATTTTTCAGACCTTTGGAAACATTTTCATACAAGACTTAAACCTGATTTCGACAGATGTTTCATGCGTGTCAGATGGAATTCCTATTTTACTGCTCCTTAGTTCCTTTTGGTACGTTTTAAAAATCACTTTCCCCACTTGCAGTGTGCTGAGTCATTCAGTTATTGTCGTGCACCGATCAGTATGAATAAAATGTCCCATCACTATCCTAGTCGCGACTGAGTGACGTGTCATCTGGACAAAACGACACTGTTGCCAGACTTAGTGATTTTCTGTATGCTTTAGCGACTATCCAGAGAAAGGCAAAAAAGTCAAGGATGTGGTCGTTTGGTATTTCATGATTTCTGAAATCCGCCAACAGAAGATCACAAAAACCCCCAATCCCGTTCGAGTTATTGCAGTAAAGTTTATTGGTGCATTAAATAGAAGATTCGTCTGTGGCTACTTGCAAAAGAATGTCAAACTGGGTACCAGGAAAGCAATTTGCTATAGCAAAACACGACAATCGATGTTACCATGCAGAAAGATTCACACCATTACTCCTATAGCATAGATATTTTAGCATTTTTTCAATATTTTTGAAGAGTTCGTAGACATGGCTCCAAATGACTGCAGCGTATTCTAATTTACTTATAACAAGCACTGAAAATAACTTAATAAGCCTTGTGATATTGAAATTTATGCGGTACGCACTACTTAACATTTCACTGATGTGGTAAAAGGTGAAAATAAACGCTCTAATCTTTAAAAGTTTCACACCTTTCCAATATAGATGTCTAGATAAGACTTGAGAAGATCCACGTGTGCATAGCTTTAAGTTTTGTTTTCACCTATTTTTACTCATTTTTATCTTGCATCTATTAAACATCCTTTTGTTAATCGTTTTGTGCCTACCGAAAGAGAAAGATCTCCTATAAGAATGGCTACTTCAAATCAACAGAATGTCGTTCAGCATGATAATCCTCAATTAATTTTTAACATGCTAAAAGATTCAATTCCTATATTTGATGGCCATTCAAACAATCTTTCTACATTTTTAAGAAAGTCTACAGAATTTTATAACGCTTTACCTATTTCCTATAAAGGGCATGCTTTAACATTTATTAAGTCTAGATTACAAGGTGAACCTGCCGAATTTACAGAACAAACTAATCCTATTTCTATTGAACATCTTTCTGCTATTTTAACCACTAGATTTAAAGATTACCAAACTGAAGAAAATTTGACTCGTCAACTTTTTGATATTCATTCCCCAGACTATAGCGTTTTACATTCATAAATTTGTAACAAACTTCATGAATTACGAGAATTTGCTCGATTAAATTATCCTCCAGAAATTGCCCCAGCAATGATTGCTAGATATGAAGAGATGGCTTTAACCTCCTTTTTATGCGATATCAATTCCAAATATCATTGCGTTGCATTACAACCACCCCCTAAAAATATAGATGAAACTAAGAGACGGTGCCAAGAACACGACAACCTTTTGCAAACCAAACAATATAAAGAGTTTCTCGTCACTAAGTCTAAGCCTCAGACAAATAAACCTGTTAGACCACCATAGCTGTCCACATAGCCTCGGAACATTATTTGCAACCCATACAACAGGGTAATGCAAGAAATATTCATCACTATCACAAAGTCTATTTCTCCATTAACCTCACTGATATTTCACATACCATGCAAATGTTTTCTTACCTAATTGAATTACATAATAAAATTCCCACCAGCTTAGATAATCAGTTTCAAAATTTATACGAAGATACTTATTCCAAGTTCGAAACTTTAACACACCATAAAATCAAACGCGGACTTATAAACGGTTTAGGTTCTATAATTCGTTTTATTTCTGGCAACCTTGATCAAAACGATTTAGATCGTAATTTGAAAAATGAGAACGCTTTACGTAATAACCAGAATAGCTTGCTTGAAAGTCATCAGAAAACTATCACGTTTTGCAAATGTCTTCATGAAACTTTTGAAAATAATACAAGAAGAATTCAGTCAATTATTATTCATAATGTCCAAACTATTGAACATCAGTCTTTGTTATCACACCAGACGATCCATCAGATCTCAATTATTACAAATTTGCAACGATTTAATTCATATCTAAATTCACTTTTATTAGTTCTACAATTGAACCAGCAAACAGGTCTCAACACCTTACAATTATCTCATCATCAGGTTACCTTACTTATTGAACATCTAAAATCCATTTATAAAGACAAAGAATTATTGCCATTCGACAAAATACATTTATTTGAGATTTATGATCTTTCCCTTTTATCACTTGTACTTTTAGAAAACCAACTTATCTTTGTTGTTGAATTTCCCATTTTAGATGTTAGAACTTATTCCTTATTCAAGTTATTTTCAATCACAGTCAAAAAAGAATTAGTAAAATTACCAAGTGATTATATTTTATACTTTGAAAAGTATTATTATTGCAAAAACTTATCTCATGATTTTTATGTTCCATAAATATTATAAATTGACATAGAAAAAATAACACTCAGTAATAGTGGGTTTGTTACAATTTCTTGTATACGTGTGTCTTAGGGTTACGTAAGTGATTGTTTTGTTCTTATCTCTACCATAATATGGTCCATTTACATGAAATCTCTCAATATGAAAGCAAAACAAAATATTTCGAGCAAATACCAGCGGGGTTTTCCTGACTCAACAGTTCTCCGATGCGTATCTCCAACTACGACATTGATAATTTGTATCTCTGCAAAGAAATTATTAGGCTACGTAAGATGCATCTCGGCAGGTTTAATTGCCCAGCATAATTCGAGGTTATCTCTGTAAGTATACATGCCATTGCGGAGGAATACTCATACATATGGACGTTAGGATCGTTGGATGCCTCGAAATTAAACGATCTCTAATAAGACTGAATATACAACTTTAACTTCAGGTTTCTGTAATAATTGCCGCTGCGTTTTGCTTGTACTACCGGTGCGACGTGCAGTTAGAAGAACGTTTAAGGAATTGCGTATAACCATATATGTAATCTGCGAAGTCAGTCGTTTTGTAGATTGTCCGGTTATCTCATGCTCTGAAAAATGAAATAGGATAGCGCGAAGCGCCATCTATCACCAGAACAGGCTACTGCGAAGAGCGTACCGCTGCTATCTTTTGGAACTGCAAAATATGCAGTGTCCGATTCTAGTGATAGATGGCGCTTTGCTTTCGATAGGTAGTACCTCCGGGTTAGGGAATAGTTGCGATGCTTACGTTCCACAGATGAGAGACAAAGCCTAGACCATGCTGACCATGCCAAGAAGCACGAAACAACTGTCGATGGTTGGATTTTTTTGGTTGGAGTATGTTTAGCTTTCTTTGCCAAATAGTAGGATAGGAGTGTGAAGCACACGTCAATTATACAGTAATTATTGGTAGTTGCGTTGAAGCCACATTAGAATAACATTTCTTTTTGCGAAGCTTACCAAATTTTGGTTAAAACGTAACTGCTATGACTCTGAAAGGATGAGACTCAGCGATAGTTACTATTTGAATGGAAAAATCATGGATGGAGAGTTTAAAAATAGGCGTGAATTCTACCAAAATTCGAATAATTCGCTACAGACTTCAATAGCAGAAACAAACAATACACACACAGTAAATATTAGAGGTTCTCTTTCTAGTATGTGATTCAGTGTAATACTTTATAGTTTAAAAATTAAAATTTTTGCGGTAACACTGATCAACAGCCAAAAAATATCCTAAATAAAATCAACAAAATATTACTATTTTTAATGTGCCAAAAACCGGAATGAAACTTAGTTTTTCAATATTAGTTCAAGTTTTAGAGATACGGTAATTATATGTGTTCCTGCTGTGACAGTGTTAATATACTGTAATTCATAAGAATGCACGTGCTACATTTTTATATTCGGCAAGGAAATATGATGTAATCGCCATGATTGTGTTACGTTATACATACGTGTACATTATATTGTTTTATATTAGTCATTTTTTCCTCAGTTGGCTGACAGCGTTCATGCAAGATGTCTCGAAAGTGTGTAAACAATCCAGATCAGTTTTGTTACGTGTGTGGTGATGTGACTTTTGCGTCTCAGAGACGGTCTATTACTCCACTAATAACAAAGGCATATCAGCTTTATTTCGGTTGTAAACTAGGTGATCAAGACACACAGTGGGCACACCACATATGCTGTAATACATGTGCTTCAAGTCTGAGGAGCTGGTTAAATGGCAAAAAACGGTCTATGCGCTTTGCTGTCCCAATGGTTTGGAGAGAGCCTACAAATCATATTAATGATTGTTACTTTTGCATGGTACCTTGTGTTGGACAAGCCACAGGTGTGTCGAAGAAAAAAAAACGGTCATTAACTACCCAAACATACCATCTGCGATGAGACCTGTGCCTCACAGTGACGAAAATCCTATACCAAAACCCCCAGAATCCTACACTTGCGAATCAGAAAACGAATCAGATCATGGCGATCGAGTGATTAGTCAGGAAGAAGATATGCCATCAACGTCAAGAGATCCTGATTTTATACCGAGCACGTCATGCCACCAACCGCACAAAATAACACAGTCAGAATTAAATGATCTTGTGAGAGATTTAGAACTTCCAAAATGTAAGGCAGAGTTACTTGGGTCAAGACTGCAGCAGTGGAACTTGTTAGAAGACGATGTTTCGGTAAGTGTTTTTCGTAATCGCCACAAAGACTTAGAACCATTTTTCAATGTGGAGAATAACTTGGTTTTTTGCGGCTTACTGACGGCTTTAAATATAAACTATAACCCAGAAGAATGGAGATTGTTTATAGACAGTTCAACATTGAGTTTAAAGGCAGTGTTATTGCATATTGGAAATATTTTACCATATCTTCCTGTAGGGTATGCAGTTCACATGAAAGAATCATATGACAATATGAAGTACCTATTGACATGCATAAAATACGATGAGCACCAATGGCATATTTGTGGCGATTTGAAAGTTGTTGCTCTTTTACTTGGGCTGCAGCTAGGCTACACAAAGTTTTGCTGTTTTTTGTGTGAATGGGACAGTCGGGCAAAGGCACTTCATTACACCAGACAAAACTGGCCTGTTCGTCAATTCCTAGAGCCAGGTCAAAAAAATGTACAGCATATGCCATTAGTAGATTCGAAAAAAATTTTATTACCACCACTGCATATCAAGTTGGGCCTAATGAAAAACTTGGTCAAGGCATTAGATAGAGGTGGGTCAGCTTTTCAATACCTGCGTCGGAAATTTCCAAGACTAAGTGAGGCAAAGGTTAAAGAAGGTATTTTTGTTGGGCCACAGATTCGAAATATTTTGAAAGATACACAGTTTGAAAACACTTTAACAGGTATTGAAAAAACTGCTTGGAATGATTTCCGTCTGGTGGTCACTAATTCCTACCCATCATATCCCACACGTGCTCAATTGGGGATAAGTCGGGAGATCTTGGTGGCCATGGTAACAATGTGACATCATTATGTTGAAAGAAGTCTATTGCGACTCTTGCAACATGTGGTCGGGCATTATCTTGTTGGAAAGTTGGATCTGCCAGGGTGTCAAGATAGGGTAAAAGATGGGGTTCTAGAACTTCGTGGATATAACGCTGCGCGTTCGTGTTACCTATGATGAAGATTAAAGGTGACCTGGAACCATTAGCTATAACACCCCAAACCATAACTCCAACAGTGTGATGAACATGTCTTTCAACAAAAAACTGTGGATTCCTCCTTTCACCACGTCGCCTTCTAACCCTGGCACGACCATCGTGCGTGCCTCAACAAAATCGAGACTCGTCACTAAAGACAATAGTGTTCCATTCCAGATCCCAGAGTGACCGTTGTCTGCACCACTGAAGGCGATTACGTCGGTGTTCTCGAGCTAAAGGGAGGACCCAGTGTGGCCGGTATGAAAACAAGCCAAAACTTCTCATTCGTCGGTAAACACTTCGCATGCCAATAGGTCTTCCGTGTTCTGCAAAACAATCATTTGCAATGGACCTGGTAGTGGAGAAACGGTCCCTTAAGGCCAATAATCTTAGGCGGCGATCTTCACGGTCGGTTGTTCTACGGCGGCGTCCAGTGCCCCTTGCTCTTTGCGTACGGCCTTCTCGAAGCCATGCCTGACAACACCTAATCACAGTGTCTACACTTCTTTGCACTCTAACTGCAATTGCCCGAAAAGAATGTTCAGCTTCCCGAAGTCCCACTATGCGGCCCCTATCAAACTCACTATGTTGAAGAAATCGTACAGATCTCCGTATTCTAGGCATTGTAACCGATCGTAAAGGATGTCAGGAACCAAAATCCGGCAACGTTGATTCTTTACTGCGGCTGAAATATTCATTTTTAGAGCGTTAGTGAATTAAAAAAAAGCAGTATAAAAACCGGAATGTCCAACTGATAAGGCTGAAAATTTTTTCACTTGTTATTTACAGTAAGATAAATACATTCACCAACTTTTATTAAAATAAAACCATTTAAACTGGGTGTTCGGATTTATATGTCACTTAGTATACATTACTATAAATATTTTAAAACAAAACGGATGTGTCTATCATCTTTGGTTGCGAATTACGCACAAATACGAAATGTTTGAATTTGTTTAGAAGAAAGAACGTAACCAGCTGTTTTTTGCTTAAAAATAACACTTATCTTCCGGACTGGTTTGCGATTTACATCGACAAGGTATTTTGTTATAAAACGCCCTTTGAACTAACCCTGTATATTGCTGAACAAACTAGTAGTAAAGGCCCGAAAGCAGGCGTTTTGATATAAACAATT